ACCAGCCTGAAACCTTCCTTTCTCTCTTTTCAAGTGGTTACAGTTGTTATATGAGTGATTCATGGTTGTTTCCCCTAAAACTGAATGGGGCATTTATTCTGTAGAACAAAGGCCACATGGATTTAACAAAAACTGAGAGTTTCACCATCTGCTGGTACCCAGCAGAGTTTGGGAATGATTGTACAAACCATTTACAGTTTAGTTTGGTTAAAATTCTTGAACTAAGCAAAGTGATTTGAATAAGTGTAGTAACTTCGATTTCTATTTCAGCTAATCTCTGCTTTGCTTCCTGTCTTCACACAAGTGCTCAAGACTCTGTAATCCAAGACCCAAGAATGTGAGAAGTAGTTATAGTTTTGCATTATGCATCAGATCTGGCTCTTTCAACCCCACAGAGGCTCTTTTCCATATACAGATTCAAGTTTCTGCAGCCAGAGGTCAGCAAGCCAAGGTCTCTGTCCTCGTTTGAGTCATGATGCTAGCATGATGCCCACCCAACCAACATTTACTTAGTCCCTATAGGTGCAGGTCACCAGGAATTTAAAGATTTTCCATCCAAGCCTGGTCCATGAACACATTTTTTATCTGACCCTCATGAGAGGGTCAGATAAAATGTGACAATAATAACAAAATGTTGCAACAACAACAATAATAACCTCTGTAGATAAATTGCAATTTGTGAGTAATGGTCACAGTATAACATGGCAATTTTTAAACACATTTTTCATCAAAATCTTTCTAGAGAGAAGATTATAACATCATATTTTTGGTGAGTTATTTATCTACGAGAGCTTTTCGAATCCTGTCTTGTAAAGAGGAAGCTGAGTAGTGGGCCATTCTACAAAAAGTCTTTTTTTAGATGAAGGGAGTTTGATTCTCACTTTTAGAAAGAGAAAAAAGCGTGACAAGCAGACTGATGTACTGCACCATGAGGGGAGTTTTTATTTCACATCCTTTTGCTAAACAAAACACCAAACTGTGTGTGTAAGTGGGCCGGAGACCACATGAGGGGCAGTTTCTGAGGAAAGGAAAAAATTTTAAATAAAATCTCTGTCTTGTTGTTGCGTATACTCCCCTGCTGCTGAAGTTCACCCTCTATGGAAAACCGTGTTTAGTCATTTTCACTGAATGACATATAAAATGATACACGGAAACATAAAAATGTATTATAAAGTATCTTTGCTTATTTGAATGCATCTTGACATCTTTGATTCCTCTTCTCCTTTTCAGTGTTTTAGTTTATTTTAGTTGATTGTGTTAGATTTTATCTTGGTGTGTGTCTGTGACGATAGACAACAGTCTCCAAACAGTTTCTTTTATTCCATGGCCAGTTTTGTAAACTAAAGTAGCACTGAAAGAGTTTTGTGGAGTTACAGTAAAAGGTTGTACTTTGCCTTCCGGTTAAGGCAGATTTGGAGACAGTTCTTGTAATAAAGTTGGATATCATTGCTGCTATAAGACAATAAAACTACATTAAAACAGATGAACTGTTTTGAGTATTCTGGATTTGATGTATGTATTTATTTTAACCTTTGATGCTTTAACATAATTGTAGTCCACATAGTGAACAATAGCTGACAGTGTGTTACTGTGTTTCTTCCATAACTGTTTCATGTGTACTTCAGCCAGTTTTTTGTCTGCCTTTCAGATATTTCTTACACTAAAAGTTATTTTTATTGTCTGTAATAATAATTAACAACAGCCAGCATCTCATCAGTTAACATTCGCCATTTTGGAAACATGCCGAGCCAAATGATCTAGCATAATACAGTGTGAGTAGGACTTCTGTGTGTGACTGTGTGCCAGAATAAGTGCTGTATGAATAGTTGAAGGTGGTTTGCAATATGCTTTAAGTGAGTGATCAAATTAGAAAAGGTCTATATAAATGTAGTCCACCACAGACATGAAGTGTCCTTCAGAATCTATTACTCTGTCCACTGTCTAATATATGTTGAACAAGTCCTTTCTAAAGAGCGCAAATTTGTTTCATATGCTAATGTTGTGGCCATCAGTGTAAGAAGTAAACTTTCTGAATTTGATGTGCCGTGCTGTCGCTATGAGTCTTCCTGTGGGCGTTGTGGGCACACTCAATTTTTATTTATGCAAATATATTGGTTTTAGCTGCAACCTCTCTGTCTATCTTACTGGTCACACTTCTTTCCTGTTTCATAGCTAATACAAATATATACATATATGATAGATATAGAAAAATAGAGCTCATCTTATCTTGGCCACCACTGGTGACATCATTTAACACCTTAAGATGCTACTCCACCCATAATATAGTTTGAGCACGAAAGGCTCACTCTCGCGTGAAGATGACTGTTAAAAACTTGCAGCTTAAAGAATAAAGACGGACATTCTCCATGATGACGGTGATGCGGTCATGAAGCCTCCCCAATAGGCACGGCTGTTACACAACTGTTGTTTTGTAAGCTCATGTGAAAGGGATATCATATGTTCTTCTACATTATCTCTATAGAGAAGGTTTGTTGGTTTTGGTGTTGTGAAACCCTCTGGGTAGCTGTTTTTAAACTATGGGCCAGAGACAAGCCTGAGGCGCAGGAGCTACACCTTAACCTTTGTGGTGTTCGAGATCTGGGATTTCCATCACCGGCTATCGTCGGTTACCTCTATGAAACCAAAGACTACTTCAAAATAAAGTGCTATTTTCATTTTCTCTTCAGAAGATGGTTTAAAGTGATTGTGAAGTTGAAATATCATTATATGTAAAGATTTTTCAAAGTCAGCATCTAATGTAAATAAATCCCTTGTTATCGTTTTTACAATTGGCTGAAATACACCATCTTTAAACTTATGTTGAGCACTCAAAGTATTTTCCACCCAGTCCCATATACCATCATGTTTCTGGCTGTTTCTAACATTTACACAATCAGTCACACTCTAGTGGGGGCAATGAGGACAACGTGGGGATTCAAGATCTTGCCTATGTAGATTAGGGATTGATCACGCAACCTTCCCAGTGGTAGACAACCCGCTACCACAGCCTCCCACGCTGTTGCAGCAAACGTAGAACGGCGTTCCTCTTTCCAGGGCATGGTTTGTCAGTGACGATGAAAAGACATTCAGATGCAGCGCGTTCCCATTTTTCAGTTTTACAAGATCAATTTATGACAATCAATTCAGAATAGTAATGAACTCTGGTTATCTGACTAGAGTGCTGACTAAATCGCCAACACATACTCCTGTCTGCTAACAGACATGAAACACCTACACTCATCCTTACTCATTACAGTTACCATATGATCTTTTCAAACAAACAAGCCATGGAAAGGATTATGAATGATACAGTTTCAGATGGTTTGTGTATGTATTACATATATTCTACCTTTTATAACCTCTTATCATTAATCAGTCCATCATTTCCATTAATCATTGATCTATCCAAGCTGTTAAAGAGCAGGAAGGTGGTGTCCACCCTGAAGGGCTCGTCATGCCATCACAGAGATACAGACAGACAAGCGTTTGTACTCAGAACTTCATAGAGTGCCTTTTAGTAATTAGAACATCTTATTTGTATATCACATTTAAAACATGGCACAATCTGATATCGTCGTGTTGGTGTTGTTCCCAGATCATCATACTAAATGTTGTTCCAGGATCAACATTGCAAGTGACCAATCAGAATGTAGTGACGTCATACTTTTGCGACTTTGGGAAAAACCGCCGTAAAACAAAAAACTGTACTTAAGCTGCGAGAAACCGCTTCTGTCCGCCGATCAACGGACCCTAACCCTGACCCTGACCCTTTAATAAACGGTAAGCAGAACTGATATTGTCCTTGCAACATTGGAATTTCATAAACGCACGAATGGCTTGGTGCGCAAAAGAATAACGTGACAACAATGTGATTGGTCACTTGCAATGTTGAACCTGGAACAACATGTTCATGATGATCTGGGAACAACACCAACACGATGATATCAGCTCATCCTAAAAGATGCATCCCAAAAGGTTGATTCTGTTCATCTGGATGTAGCGTTTTCAGTGGTTCTCCCACTGAAAACGCTACTTACCTGGGATTTACTTACCTGGGATTTACTTACCTGGGATTTACTTACCTGGGATTTACTTACCTGGGTCAACGTGACCCACGTTTAAACAAATGCCCCTCTTTCAGCTTGCTCGTCACAAGTGCTTCACATAGCCTAATCACCCCAGTGTTGTGTCTGTGCTGTCTTTACATTACTATGTGACACACCAAAAAACATTTTTCAGATTTTGCGACTATTACTCAGAAAAAAAAATCCCAAGCATGAGCTAGATAAAAAGGCCGAGGACATTTTTTCACAAACAACATAATGCTAAGTATTATCACAGAAACAGCTCATTTTGATTCAAAAAAACCTTCATCAAATTATTAGGGAAGTGACACATGTTCTATAAATGCAGGGTGACGATGACATCACTGGCAGTTGATTGTTGGTGGAATATCAAACACAATAACGTAAAAAACATTTGGCAATAGTGGTCAAACTGACGAATAGCTGAAGGTTGCAGACTTTTCTGTGACTTATTGCCCCACATTTGAACTGGCTTTCAGTGTGTCTGCCCCACATAGAAACAAAGACAACACAACAACATATGTGAACACTTCACATCAATAGCTAACATGTGCTTTTTAAAAATTTAGAATAGTAGAACAGAGTGATCTGTGGTCTGTGTACGCAGGTATACAGCAGGTGAGTGTGTGTGCCTGTTTGAAATGATCTATTGAGCTGTGTGGGTGTGCACTGAGGTGCAAAAGGGGATTCCACACAGGTGTCTGGTTTTTATTTGATGTTGGTATAACCCGATCATAAACATGCCATGTGCAGAGGAGGTGTGGTGTGTAAGATCCTCCCCGGCACTGGGTCTCTATTCCTCATTGAGTCTCCACTCACTGATGTGTGACATCATTGGAGTTTCCCCCTCTATCGGTAAGAGCCTTTTAAAACAGCCTCTCACAGATAGCGGCATCAAACAAGAACGGTGGTGAAGGAAGAGGAGGAAAGGCTGCTAAGAAGTGAACTGTACCTGATAGAAGGCACCCACTAAAAACAATGGAAGGTGAATGCATGGTCGTGCTGGATACAATGATCGACAAAGACACAGAGAAACAGGCAACACAGGAAATCAAGCCCAGGTCAAAGCTAACCATGGCCCTGCTGGCATTCACACTTTGCCTCGCTGCTACTGCTGTTGCTGCCCTCGTTGTTAACAGGCGTGCTGAGGTGGGTTTTAAAATACTCTCTAAACTACTCAAGAGCGCCATTGACTCTCACAGTGAATGAACTGCTTCACCTTAAACCAACCAGTCTGTAACAGCGTTTTGTGTCATGCTCTATTTCAAACAGGCTCCTGGACAAAATGAGGACAATTTTGGTGAGTACACTTAACTCTTACAAAAGTAGTGGACTTTTTTATTTTTTAGCTTAGTAATGTTAGTGACTAGTAGGCGAAAACACTGTATAATTCCTATTCTCTGTCTTTTCTTGTTCCCAGATCTCCATCACACTTTGAGGCAAATATCAAATGTGAGAGCAGCCATTCATTTGCAAGGTAAGGGATGAAACCCAAGTCAAAAAAAAAGTGCAATCTCAAAAAAGTTACCAGGCATATTTTAGACTGACTGTGGAGAATCTTACTACACCTGTAATCATGAAATCACACGTCTCTGTGAGATTCATGGGACATTTAGTGGATCATAATTGGAGGAAGTTCTTGATTCAGGAAGCTTATCAGTTTTTCCAGAAAGTTTTAGAACTTCTCCTTGATTTTTAAGGGCATATTATGCCTGTTTCCTTTGGATAATTTGGAGATTTAAATGAGTTCTAGTTAGACTGAAGAATGTAGCTGATAAATGAGAAATAGGCTCATGTCACTACAACAGAATTCATTTGAAATTTCTCTTCAGGAACCCTTGAGTCAAGGGCAGTTTTATTTCACTGTTAATCAGAAATTTACCATTTGTCTGTACTATTCAACAGGAGCACACAACTCTAGTAGAAAGACCTCAGTGGAATGGCAGAAGGATGTGGACCAGTCCCACTCTCAGGGAGGACTAGAGCTCGATCAAAATGAAATTGTGATTCCTCGAGATGGCCTCTACTTTGTTTACAGCCAAGCATCTTTCCGGGTTGACTGCAGCAGCGATGCCGACGATACCTCCTCACACCCCATGGTCCACCTGAGCCACACTGTCCAACGCTGGTCTCGCTCATATGCACCTAAATATGTGACCATTCTTCACTCTATCCGTACGGTCTGCCAAAAGACAACCAGTAGGGATTCAGATGAGGATGGGAACTGGTACTCTGCAGTTTACATGGGGGCTGTGTTCAACTTGTATGCTCATGACAGACTGAGAACACAGACGGAGGAGGCAATGCTGGAGAAATTGGAGGATGAGCCAGGGAAGAACTTCTTTGGTGTTTTTGCCTTGTGAGGAGAGGTGTCTGATGAATGTAGGTGACCTCAGGCTCCACCATGACCTGCTGCCCTTCTGGGAGGCTTTTAACTATTGAATGTGAGGAAGCCACAGATGGTTCACATTGCACTAAAGAGGTGATGGAAAATGTACTTTTACCATCAGCCATACTTGAAATATTTGTATCAGCAAGTCATTTCATTTTTGTAAGTAAATCAAACCATTGTAACTACAGCAGTCAACCAAAGAGTGCGACCATGTCACTACAGGCTGACAGAATAGAAAAACAAAGGGTTTACTTTTTGGGGAATTTATTTATTCAACATATCTTTGTCGTATTTATTATATTTGTTGTATTTATTTATTTATTTATTGAAATACTTATATATTTATATTAATTTTATTGTGTGTTTTATACTGAATGTCCTACTGTATTTATGCTGATTTTTATTTATCAAACTATTTGTTTCGTTTTATGGCAAGTACAAACAAATGTCTAAGAATTTATAGTGCCTGTGGTACTCTGAAATATTTGAATAAAACTCAGCTTATAAAGAAATCATGTTTGCAAGAGTTGTGTTTATCATTTTACAAACCAGTGAAAAAAATGTATCAAACATGCTACAGGGTGAAACTAAACAGAGCAAACAAATGAGCCACAACGGCTAAAGAAAGCTCAAATTATTGCTAGTGTGTGCGATGGGACAATTAACACAGGGTAGTAACCACAGAGCACAGTGTGTCCTCTTGTTGTGTGCAGCGAAACAGTCATGGAAGTGGAGGAGTGTAACAGTTACTTCATGGAGATGAACCCAAATTTATCATGCTTGCTAAATACTGAGATATTTGTCTCTATGACACCATTATTGAAATGTATATGTTGCCTTTCAACTGCATGCACACTAAAAGAATACTTTATAATACTTGCAAATGAAGTAAAATTAAATGTGCAACTTATTTTCATGTAATCACCCTCCCAGTGTCCTGCCTCCAGTCAGTGAAATGGAAATAGGTCCATAAATATTTTACAGAGACACCTTTTTTCCCCTCATTTTGGTTCTGTACATTACTGCAATGAATTTTAAATGAAAGAACAACAACTCAGATGCAGTTGAAGTTCATACAGCTTTAACTTAGTGGGCTGAACAAAAAGGTTGCACACAATGATCGAGAAACCTCTAGCAAATAACATACTATATATTTAAATTAATTTCATTTGTGCTTTTAAAAAGGAGACCCACGTTTCATTCTAATTTGTCACTGTCTGCAGGATTTGATACCATTACACATCTTAGTACTTATAACAGAGATTAATTTTTACTGGGTCGCTCTAAAGAGCTCCAAGTGTGGTCCTGTAATGAACGCCACAAGTCAGTTTGTAAGCTATCCCACAATCAACCGTTAGTAGTATTATTGCAAAGTGGAAGAACTACAGCAACTAGGCCACAAAGTGGCAGACCATGTAACGTTACAGAACTGCGTTGCTGACACAATAAATGCAGTTTCAAATCCCTCGTGTACGAAACCTGGTTTAAAGCCTGATTCAAGGATGGGGTGTCTGCTAATGTTTCAGACATTGCTGTTAATGTCTAAAAGCTGATATTAGAAAGCTTACATGTTACTTATGGTAATGTAACCTCTCAGAAAAACTTGATATGGTTTGTTTTTTTGATTCAACTCAATCAAAACAAACAATTAAAAAAAGCCATTCTAGAATTAAATGGCATTTTAATGCCAACACTTTTGAAAAATATAGTCAATGCATTTTGAATTAGACAATATGTTAAACCCCTTCTGAGTTAGATTACTTTAATTAAAAATACATGGTAACATGTATTTAAATACAGGGCTGCATGGTTACATGACTTATGTGACTTGCGTGACTTTTGACTGTGTTCGTATGAGCTCATCACTGCTGACAGTGGGTAATATTAGCCTGGTTATTACGTAAGATACTATGACTTAGCTCTGTGTTCATATTCATTAACAGTGCAAGTTTTTCTATTTGGCACTGTGAAAGTTTCCAGTAGAGTAATAATTCCTCAACACTTTAACAGAGTGGAAGGGAGAAGGGGAACTCCCTGCTGTGGTAATTCCCCTGCTTCCTCCTCCAGCTGCCTACAGAGCTGTACCAAATATCACCAGTGGAAAGTATTTATCTCACAGTAAATCGTTTTTTTATACTGTCTTTTTTGTTTATTGACCACACTTCAGAGGTCCCTAAGAACCCTACAAGGATAATGGCAGAAGAGATGCATTTTTGAGTCAGACTGTATATCTTTGTAAATTTTTTATTTTTATTTTTCATGTTAAATAGATTTGCAAGAATTTTATGTAAATTTGGTTCATTTTTTCATTATTGGTTATTGTGTGAAAAAACAAAAATCGGTGGCACGGTGGTTAGCACTGTTGCCGCACAGCAAGAGGTCCTGAGTTCAATTCCACCATCATCCTTTCTGTGTGGAGTTTGTGTGGCTTTCTCCCACAGTCCAAAGACATTATGATGTGTTGGTTGCAAATGACTCTTTGAAGTGAACGACGTGAGCCGGCTCCTTATCGCGAGCCGTGGGTTTTTTTTTCTTTCTCTCACCCTCTCTCTCGCACTTTTTTCCCGCTTCACTCCGCACGCGAGCCTTGTGCTTTGCGCTG